GGAGAAATAGATGAGCAAGAAAAGGAATTTCAAGCTGTTTGGGACCACAATTCTCGAGAACCTGAAAATGCACTAGAAATACTTGAGCAAAGGGAGCAAAAGCTCTTATTTTATGAATTGGGAAGAGCAAGCAACTTGCGTAAAAGTTTACCTTGGGATAGTGCTTTTTTCACCAGTGCAGGGAGTCTAGATCCAGAAGAGTTGTTTATTATAAATAAAGGATTTGAGAAGGCTGAAGTCACCTATTACCCGTAATTCAAGAAGATCTGTGTAGGTGGAGATATGTAGACTCAAAATCTACATTAGATAGTGATGACTTCTCTTTGGACCGCAACCAAAGCATGAGGTTGATCTATTTGAAGAAATAAGAGCATCCATTGAGAAATCCAATATAATGTCCAATATTTGCAAGTCAGTTTGCAAATCAGGAGTTGGAGAAGCCCACAAACAGGAAACCCACTCCTTGAAAAAACTTGATGACATCTCTCGAAATAGGGTGAAATCCACACCAACTCCTAGAAGGCAAAGCGTCTTTATGCAAGGATCAAAAAAGTTAAGGAGGTTGTCCATCCACAAATCTTCCAGGATGCTGAAAGAATGGTGAATCTAATTGTTCGTCATAAGTCACCCAAGATATTAGGCAGGATGAACATTGTGTCAGCAGGACAAAGATTTTCAATGGGTAAAGAAGACCCGAAATCGCTGAAAGCAGAGATACAATAGTTGCTCCTCCGAGGAAGAGCGTTGTTGAACCAGTTGATCAATGGACTTTTTGGATGAATCGAAGCTCCCAAGGGGCAGATCTCGATCTAGAAAGCCGCGTCTAGTTACAAAGAGAATGAATTGTCTCCCGGCTTTAGTTCCGGCCTCTGATCTATTTCAAGCGCCCTTGCGCTCCATTTCGGATTTTGCAATCTATTTGTCTTTTATTTTATTTAGTTTTATTTCATGTTTTATTTCTCTCTCCAAACTCAAGATGTTTCCTCCTTGAGTTTGAGGAGAGATGTTTAGTATATTATATATATTCTTACATATATTAAGTGTGATTCCTAGATAATTAAATATTGCCACAGTTAGGTCTCTTATAGAATACTCTTTCTCATAATTACATTTCTAGTAGGATACTCTTTCTCACCTATATATATAGGCCTTCTATTGTATAGGACAAATCATTCATACAATTCATTCAATACCATACATATTATTTTTCTCTCTCTCTCTCTTCTCCCTCTCTCTCTACTATTCTAACAACTTACATAAATAGTAAACTTGGAATCATCTGGTCCACATAATGGAGTGAAAAGAGAAGCACTTTGTTGTCAATTTGAAGAAGAATTAGGGATGTGATGGTTTGCATACTATACTGTCATTGGATCTAAAGAGTTGGTATGGTATAGGGTTCTAAATATTGTTGCATAACGTATCGTTCGTTATGTAATGAAATTTGGACTTCTGATATCGTTATTTACTGATATATCACATATATCCGATATCGACTGATATATGACCGTGATTGCCAACATTAATGCATATCTCGATATTGTTATTTAATACTATGCTATGGTTAAGATCAAGGAGCCAATCCCTTCGGAGCCTTTCTATGACTAGTTCTTGGAGAACCTCTATGCCAACATGCAAAAAGATCTTTCACCAACTATGACATCACCTATGATATACCATCAAGGTTCTGAAAAGCGGTTGCGGTCGCCGTAACGGTGGCGGTGACCAGTTGCGGTTGCGGGGTGTAAAGGCCGTAGTGTAACGGTTGCGGTAACCGGAACCGTGAATTTTATTTTTTCGCACAATTTGAAAAAAAACTTACCGATACGCATATTTTTTTTCCATGATCATATTTATTGGATTAAAAATAAATATTGATCAATTTTTGTAATTTTAAGTATGATGCAATATATTTCATATTTTTAAATCACTATAAACTGAGTTTTTTACATTTTATTTTAATAATTAATGACTTTATATTATACAAAAATCAATCACCAACTTATATATAAGATAACAATGCAAAAGTAAAAGAATAAATAAGAGCCTAAATATATATATATATATATATTTTAACCAAGTCAATAGATAATGACCACATTATTATTGTTATATTTTCAAAATATATAGATAGACACACACAAACAAAATGGTTAGTGATAGCAGACTGAATAGAATAGCATAGGTCTTACAGTTTCAACAAATCAATAATATGTTGTTCATCTTCCCTCTTCTCTCTCTATCTCTACTCCTATTTTCTCTCTTTATCTCTCTCTTCTCCCTATCCCTCTTCCCCCATTTTCAGCTTTTTTGTGTGTGTTTTTCGGAAGAAACAGTTTGGACCGTTACGTAACGGTGCGTAAACAGGCCGTTACGGCTGTTACGGCACTGTTACGACCGCTACGGCAGCCGCTATGACGACACACCTGTGAATCTCAATCACACTGCAAAAGCGGCCGTAACGGGTGGCGGTAACCGCCAAAACGTTACGTAACGGCGTTACGTAACGGTTGCGGCGCTTTTTAAAACCTTGTATACCATACACTGAAAACAACAAACCCTAAACATGGCAAGCCACTGGACCGTCTAACAGTGTTCAACCACACACCCTTTTATCTAAAGTCCTATAATCTTGCACAAAGACCTCCTTGTTCACTGCAATCCTGAAGAGTTCTAGGAAAGCTTCCTTTGGAGGCCTATAATGTCCTACCAAAATCTCACGACACCCATTATGCACCTTGAAAGAGATGAGCTCATAGAAGTCACCCTAAACCTTCATAATACCCTTTGTAGACCCCTACTCCATAGGACTCTCTAATGAACTCCATAGTCCACTCTCCCTTTCACAATTCATAACCATACTTAACCAACATCCTCCTCCACAAACTCTCTCCAAAGAAAATCTCCACAACCGTTTTCCTAACAAGGCCTTAATAAACAAACCCATATTTTTTATACCAAACCCAAAGTTTTCAAAGGCTTTACTAAGACTCGCCTCAAAGCTAAGGTAAAACGTGTCAAACCTTTGATTTTTTAGCTATACTCCCTAAAGGCTTGCGCATCAAAATTTGAGGCATGCACTATAGGTGCGCCTTGTATGCCTATTTCGCATAAGCCTATGACGAGCACACATATGAAAAGGTTGCCTTAGATTCTTGTTAAACTTTAATCTAGTAGATAGTTTAAACATCAAAAAGCCAAAAATTAAAAAAAAACCCCTTTTGTGACTATATTTTATAGAAAAATTAAATAAAACGAACAACGAACAAAAAATACAAAGTTAATGCTCAAGTGAGAAGCACAATCACTAAAGCAAAGAATGTCAATTTCACTTTCAATGAAGGCAAGCTTCATTCTCTGTAATGAAATGTTTGACGCCTTGAGGAGAAAAGTATTTATACCTTCTTATTTAATTTTTATTTGTTTTTTCACTATTTTAAATATTTAATTTATATGCTAAATACTGAAATTTAAAATTTGAAATTTGAAATACTTACGCATCAACACCTTAAGGCTTATGCCTCTCTTCATGAGAGGTAAAACGCCTCGAGTTATGCATTCGCCTTTAAAAACTTTGGCCCAACCCATTCCCCCTCTCTGAACAATAACTTCCTTCCACTCCACTAGATGACGTGAACTCATCCCTTAATCTACAACAAAGGAAGTTCCTCATCAACTTTCTTACTTACACATGGCCATTTGGTCCCTTTTTTGTTTTGAAAAGATGATCATATATCCCCTTATTATTAGGTTGGCACACCACCACAGGGTAGGTTGGACTTTTATCAAACAACTTCTCCCCAACCAGGTTGATAGGTCTAAAATCCCTAATATTCACTACCGCCCCTTTCTTGGAAACCAATACCATAAATGATGCATTCAAGCTCTTCACAAATGTCCCCAATTCATAAAAATCTTTGCACAACTACCAACACATCTCCTTACCATCCCTCAACATCTTTAAAAGAAGGTCATAAAGAAGCCCATTGGAATCCATACACACTAGAGAAAGCCCATTGGAGTCCACATTATCCACATTCTAGAATAAACAGGAGACTGAAAATGAATCAACCCAAACCTCCTTGCTTCTCAAAACTCCAGATTCCAACATCATCACCACATTTATCCACCAAACTCTTTCAAAAATGCTCCTACAATCACCTCCGCAGCAACATTCCATCACTTCACAACAGCAGAAAACTACCTCAAAACTATCAAAATACAATGCACGTTGTCCAAACACTAATTTAAAGTAGTAAGAATACATACCACAGTATCACAAATTTTAACAAAACTAAAGTAATTCAATGAATATAATTCAACAAAAGATTAACATTTATGCAAAGAATGCACACAAGAACAAGAGTAAGCACAAGAAATGGAAAAAAAGAGAAACTAAAGAGCCAGAAAAAGGTAAAACCCACTAACCTTTATCCAGAAATTCCACGACTAAATACAAATTATCTTTAAAAGTTAGTTTTTTTCTCAGTTCGATCACCAGTCGGACACTGAGAGTAGAGCCTATAGAGTTCAAAATCGAGAGAGAAAGAAAGTACAATAACATAAAATTGAAAGTTACAGGTTGCTGATAATCGACTTCAGTAAAAATATGTGTGTATATACGTATTTGTATATGTAGAGAGAGCGAGAGAGAGAGAGAGAGAGTTTACTGGTCGATCAGAAACCCTAGAGTGAGGAGGAAACACCAATCGAGGGAAGGACACACATTTTTTGTGGTTTTTTGATTTACGAACGCTTGTCAGTGTGGTTTATATGATTTTGAACGGAAAATATAAATCAAATCATGAAGGCGGATTAAGTAAATAATCAAATTCATTTTGCTTTTTTTAGAATATTTAAAAATTTATTTTCTTATTTTTTCGTATTTTTTATTTTACTGGATTTTTTAATATTAAATAATTTTAGATATATTTAAACAAAATATATTTAAAAAGTACAAAAATTTGTGAAATTTTTTTTAAAAATTTTTCATCACTAATATCAAAAATATAAATATATAATATAAAGATTTAATATATTTTTTGTATTTACGTATTTTTAATTTTTAAGATATTTTCACAAATTTTTTATTCTGTTTAAATACATCTTAAGTGAGGGTTGCATCTAAAAAAGTTAAAAAATGTTAGAAATTTTAAAAATTTAAAAATATTTCACTAAAAAAAAAAAATCAAAAAACTTAGGCCTTGTTGGTTGTATTTTGAGAAGAAAAAATTTTGAAATTGCTCTAGCAAAACACATTCTGAAAGAATAAAACTAAACAAATTTTCTAAAAAAATTCTAAGAAATGGTTTGTTGACTTTTTCCAGAGTATCACTTTGAAACATGTTGCAAACCCATTTCAAAAAAATTTCAGATTTTGTTAGTTGGTTTTTAAGGAAAAAAAAGTAAAGCACTGCCAATAAAAAAGAAATCTGGCAAAGTTTAAACAAGAAAAAAAATGAATATAACAATAAATTCCAATTTGATACATAATTCTCGAAATTTCCATTTTATACGTACACGATTTTTCGTAATTAAATTGAAAATGATATATATATACTAAATGAAAAAAATTACAAAAAAAAAAATGTTACCAAAAAATCTGCAAAAACATACTGAGTAAATTTTTTTTATACATATTGGAATATTTCTTTGTAACATACTACAAATATGCCATAAAAAAATAAAAAAAAAAAAAACTTACTACAAAACTATTTGTCACTCCTCGTAACCAGTATTCACCAGTAATTTAACATATCAAGGTTAACACTACACAGTTAAAAACCACACTGAACAGCAAACAAACATTAAAAAAAATTCAACTAAAACCGCGATACATGAACCATACATTCACAAACAAACATAAAAAAAACCATACTGACACTAACAACATAAAAAACTACCACAATCTATTTAAATAATATAAAAACAAAATATTACAACATAATTAGTACCGATGGTGAGCTAACATAATAAAACTTCAAGTACAAGCATGGGGCAATCACGGTTACTGACATCCCTACTTAATAGAAAGACAAAGAAAAGTACCAACAAAGAGAATCACAAAAAGTAAAAAGAAGAAGCGTTGCATCCACAAACAAACCCAAAACAACCACTTCCCGCCAGTGCGAGGCACTGAGCAGTCAAGAGGATTACCCCACCATCATAGTCATCTACCCAGAAGAGGAGCCCCTATGATATCCTAATTAGGAACAACGGAAAGAAAGTAAGCGACCATTGTTGCTTTAGTGCAGCCCATAATCACCAACATTGGACAGCACCCACAGAACAATTTGGTGTCACTTTTTCCGTGTCATAATTAGGAAATCAGAGTGGGCCCTTCTTCTGGTAGATTGACTAGATGGTGGGGTACAATCATCTAGACCTGCGTCAAGTGCCTCGCACTGGCGGAAGTGGTTGTTTGGGTTGTGTGGAATCCACGCTTTTCTTTTTATTTTGACTATATGATTCTCTGTCTGGTACATTTTCTTTGTCTTCTACGTTAAGTAGGATGTCAGTAACCGTGATTGCCCACAAATGCTGTCGTTGAAGTTTTATTATGTAGCACCATCGTACTAATTAGTGTGTAGATATTTTGTTTTGTTTATATTTTAAAAATAGATGTGGGTAGTTTTTTTAATGTTTGTTAGTTTCATGTATGGTTTTGAATGTTGTGTTTTGAATGTATGGTTCATGTATCGTATTAAAGTTGAATTTTTTAATGTGTTGTTCAGTGCTGGCTTTTTAAAACCATGTGGTCAAGTTTGTTTTAAACTTGATAGTTAATTACTGGTGAAATATTGGTTAACGAGTGAGATGATAAAAAGTTTTGTAGTTTTTTTTTTTTTTTTTTTATGGCATATTATGTACGTGTTAACAAAAGAAATATCCCAGGATGTGATAAAGAAAACAATTTAACTCCAGTATGTTTTTGCAGTTTTTTGTAATTTTTTTTTTTTGTAATTTTTTTCCAGATATATATTATATATATTTTCAAAAATTTAATTACGAAAAAAATCGAGTACGTATAAAAGTGGAAATTTCGAATATGTAATAAATTGGAATTTATTTATATCTCATTTTTTTTCTTCTAACTTTGCAGATTTTTTTTTAATTGGGAGTGTTTACATTTTTTTTCCTTAAAAAAACCAACAAAAAAATTCTGAGAATTTTGTTTGAAAAAGTGGTTTGAAACATGTTCCTTTTTAAAGTTGGACAACCTGCGGAAAAAAAAAAAGGGTTCAACCAAACAAAAACCCCAAATTCTAAAAATTTTTTAGAAAATTGTTAGTTTTATTACTTTCCAAAAATGTGTTTGTAAGCATATTCAAATTTTTTTTCTATATACAAACCAAACAAGCCTACAGTTTTTGATTTTTATTTATGCAATATTTTGTAAATTTAAAATGTAAACATTTTTAAACTTTTTTTAGATGCACTCACTTAATGATTATTAAAAAATAAAAAATTGTGAAAAAATATCTTAAAAAATTTAATAAATACGGAAAAAACAAAAAATAATATAAATTCTATATATTTTATATTTTTGAGATTTGTGAAATGTTTAAAAAAATTCACACAAATTTTTACTTTTAATATTTTTTGTAAATATATCAAAAATTATTAAAATATTAAAAAAATTTCAGAAAAATAAAAAAAAATCGAGAAAATAAAATAAAATTTTAAAATATTCTAGAAAAAGCAAAATGAATTTGATATTTCTAATTCCCGTCCTTCATGATTTGATAAATTTACGTTCACATCATAATAAACCACACTGACAAGTCGTCGTAAATCAAAACCACAAAAATGTGTGTCCTTCCCTCGATTGTGTTCCTCCCCACCCGTAGGGTCTGATCGACAAGTAAGCTCTCGTCTCTATTCTCTCCGGTGTCTCTCTTACATATACGATAATACGTATTAACACAATATTTGTAGTAAAGTCGATTATTCACGCAACTCTGGTACTAATTTTATTTATGTACTCCTTTCTTTCGATTTTGAATCTATAGGCTCTACTCTCAGTGTCCGACGGTATCGAACTGAAGAAATAAACTAACTTTTTAAAGATAATGTATTAAGTCGGGGAAGTTCTGGGATAAAGGTTATGGTTTAACTTTTTATGGCCTTTGTTCTCTTTTTCCATTTCTGTGCTTATCTGTCTGTGTGTCATCTTTGCATAAAGTTAACTTTTGTTGAATATATGTCATGAGATTCTTTAGTTTTGTAAAATTTGTGATAACGTGGGTATGTATCTTAAACTAAATTTAGTTTGGACAACGTGGCAATGTATTTTGAATAGTTTTGAGGTAGTTTTCTGCTGTTGTGAAGTGCATGGAAGTTGCGGGAGGTGATGTAGAAGATTTTGTGAAAGAGTTGTGGTATAATGTGTGATGATTGCATTGATTTTGAGACAGGAAGGAGGTGGGTGATGATCATTTTCAAGTCTCCTGTTTGTTCTAGAAGCGGATATGTGACTCCAAGGGCTTTCTCTAGGTGTATGGATTCCAATGGCTTCTTATGACCTTTTTAAAGATGTTTGAGGGATTGGTAAGGAGATGTGTGGTAGTTTGTGCAAAGTTTTATGATTGGGGACATTTGTGAAGAGCTTGAATGCATCATTTATGGTTATTGTTTCCAAGAAAGGGGCGTAAGTCGAATATTAGGGATTTTTAGGACCTATCTAACCTGGTTGGGGGAAGTTGTTGTAAAAGTCAACCACCCGTGGTGTGTCCAACCTAATAATAAGGGGATATATGATCATCGTTTTCAAAACAAAAAAGGGACCAAATGCCATGTGTAAGTAAGAAAGGTGAAATCGAGGAACTTCCTGTTGTTGTAGATTAACGGGATGATTCACGTCATCTAGTGAGTGAAGGAAGTTATTGTCCAGAAGGGGGAATGGGTTGGGCCAAAGTTTTAAGGCGAAGCATACTCGAGGGCTTTACCTCTCACTGAAGAGAGGCAATAAGCTTAAGGTGGTTGAGCGTAAGTATTTCAAATGTCAAATTTTAAATTTCAGTATTTAGCATATTTAAATTATTTAAAAATAGGAAAAAACAAATAAAATTAAGTAAGAAGGTAAAATACTCTTCTCCTCAAGGCGTCAAACATTCAATTCAGAGAATGAAGCTTGCCTTCATTGAATAAGTGAAATTGCATTCTTTCTTAGTGATGTGCTCTCACTGAGCACTAACTTGTATTTTTGTTCGTGTTCGGTTTAATTTATTCTATAAGAATATAGTCACAAAAAGGTGTTTTTTTAATTTGGCTTTTGAATGTTAAACTATCTACTAAGATTAAAGTTTAACAAGAATCTACAGGCAACCTTGTCATTTGCTCGTCCATAGGCTTATGCGAAATAGCATACAAGCGCACTATAGTCAATGCTCAAATTTGATGCGCAAGCCTTTAGGAGTATACAAAAAATCAAAGGTTGACACTTTACCTAGCTTTGGGCGAGTCTTAGTAAAGCCTTTTCGAAAAACTTTG